GACAGTGCTTGCAGAGGTGTGAAGAGTCACTAGAGTCACCCGGAGTCACTAGGTTCTTGGAGTATTTGGGTAAATGTGAAGTTAGGCATTTTGCCACAGGAATGAGTTGTGTTAAAGAGGAATGGAATCCTGGTGCTGGAGGAGCCGTGAATCATGGATGCGCAGGTTGTCTGAGATTACAGTGGGAGTTTGGCAGTATTTTTGGGCCAGGTTTTCCATGAATCCGGGCAAGTGACCTAGAGCTGGTGGATAATTATGATTATGTTTGAGACTCAAAAGGGGGCAGAGGGTGGGAAGCTGTATACAGGTAGGAATAAAATCTTCTGGAACTGGCAGCTAGAACCTAGACTGCCAACAGGACTTTCAAAGCTCTCTTAGCATGTTGAAAGGCGGGGCCGGGGCGGGGAGCAGTTTTTGTTTGCCAAGGCTCAAGGGAAGTGATGTCTTTGGGGGAATGTCAGGTTTCATTTAAGGCAAGAAAGTGAAGGTATGGTTCTCTGAAGATGTTGGTGATACAAAGGATGTTGAGTGCTTACAATGAAATTGTGGCTTTTACAGTGGAAAGTTTCAAAGAGGTCAGCAGCTGAAAGAAGCTAGGGGAAAAGAAGCATAGGCAATTTGTAAACAGAATGAATGGTGTAGGTAAGATTTTTTGACCTTGAAGTTACAAAGAAATGCAGGTATGAATTTGACTGAAAACTAACTTCAAGACGGTGGGGGTGTACAGTAGCTGTCTTCTGTTGATTTGGGGGTATAGAACATGCCTCTGGTGCTACTAAAAGGGCTGCAGGATGCCCCCTCTGTCCACACCAATTAAATGATCCCGAGTAGGCTATTCATCTTCCTGTGTCCTATTTTATCCATTTCTAAAATAGGGGCAGTAATACCAATCTCTCTGAGTTGTCAGAGAATCATATTAATGTACATTTTGGAAAGTACAGTTTGTTTGAAGACATGGCTTTCAGGAAAGCATTATGGAAAAGCAGAAATGTCTGCATTACATTCTTTACACAAATAAAATAATTTATCAGGGAAATAGCTGAAATCAAAATCATTTGATGACCAAAAATCATTATAAGAAGGAATTTTTTTTTCTTTAGTCATTCTTTCCATTACAAATGATTTAAGTGGAAACTTAAGAACAAAGCTTCAGGACTTTCCTTAAAGTCTTTTAGCAGAGCTCAAACAGCCACAGGTTGGGACTCTGGGCCACTTGCTAGTATTTATTCAAAGAGCGTTCTAAGCAAGACAGCATAATAATAAGAAACTGGAAATTTCTCTCCTTTCCCACAGACAAGGGCTCTTCCCTTCCCTCTGCAATCTGTATATTGCAGATACACATGCAATATTTAGTACCAGGCAATAGCCATTTTAGCCTGTATTTCCTTGTATACTGTTTTTCTTAAGATAGGAAAAATGTGATCATGCTTTTCTTTTACCTTCAGAAAAATCTAACATTGAGACACTATGAAATAGGAAAAAGTTATTTCCGTGTACAAAATAAAAGTCACGGGAGGTCTTTGAGTTTATGTTTAGGAAATTTCTATTTAGGATATGGAAGAGTGTCTACTGTGGAGATGATACTTGACAAGATAAATACCCCATCACAAATTCCGCATTTCACTGAAAAATGAAACACTACACTGTATCAGACATATAGGCATAGCAGTTCTATAGCCCACCTCTGCCAGAAATACCAAGAAATTTGCCTGAAAATGTCCTGTATCTTCTGACATCAGGGTTGAACAACTCAAAAATTTATGGAATGAGATGTTTATGAAACAGAGAATGATTAAAGGAAACGAAGTCCATCTGGAATCCTGAATTAAAAAAAAATCTGTGAGGATGTCTTCCTTACGACAAAAGTAACATTATTTTCATTGCTGAAGATGTAAAACATACACGTAAAATTAAGGAAAGACATCAAGCCATCACTTATTCATCCAGATATCACAGTGCAAATATACTGGTATATATCCTTTCAGCATTTTCTTACAAATCCCTATGAACGTATAACAAACATGGACTCACACTAGACATAACATCGTGTAAGCTACAGAACGTATGTACGCATGCGTCTAAGGACTGTGGTAAAGAGCACAGTTTCCCAACAGGCTGCTTGGGGTGGGGTCTCAGCTCTGTCATTGACTAATGGGATGACACTGGGCAGGTTTCTTCATCATTCTGTTGATGGGAAGTCACAGAATCTAGAGCTAGAAGCATCAGAATGCCATCAGCCAAGGTCAAAAGTAAGAGATTTGTCATGGGGAGATCAGCAGTCCAATCTGTTGGACGCTTGAGAAAAAATATCAACATTATCCTCATTTTATAGATGAAGAAACAGAAAACCTTGACACAGCAAGATAAAGAACTTAGCCCGAATCTTCACAGATGGTGGGCTGTACGTAGAGTTGCGTGACTCTGGAGCATGCTTGGGGCAGGGCTGCTACTAGCACATATGGTGCCCTTGTGAAATCAGAAAAGACTCCATCTCGTGAGTAAAATGCAGTCACGAAACCCAAACGATGTTTTCCCAGGGGAGCTCTGCCTGTGTGCACACAACTGCCCAGGCTGTTGCTTGATCCCACACCCACGCTTGAGGTAAGTTCTGAATAGTTTGTGCTGCTTCCCCCACTATTATCAAGTTCAAGGTTGGGCAACGGAAAGCAAGTCTTTGATACGTACCAGGTAAGTGAGGGATCGATCACAGGTGTCACTGGGAATGCTGCCATCAGGACAGGTGTGACTTGTGCAGGTGCGTGTCAGTACGGAGGTGAACGGTCCCCTGAGTGTGTATGGTCATTATGAACCCAATGTGGGCTTTTGTAGGAGTTAGCTCTGCACTGCTCCAGAACTCTTAGGCCTGCCTGTGATTTCAGAGAAGTTACATTTATCTGCAATGTAAAAATCAACATACTCTTATTTACGGGGCTCTTGTACCATGCGCCATCTGAACACCCCTGTGCTGCAACCTTATTCCTAACGGCGCTTGTATTCATTGGACAAGCGTTAAGGGTCCACCCACGTGCAAAGCACCGCACGAGGCACTACAGTAGATTCAGAGACACCCATCCTTTTTTAATCAAGGGATGTAATTTCTAGTAAGGAAACTGCACATAAATAGCATAGAATACAGAGTCCTAAGCTCTACAAGAGAAGCATTGAGAAACTGCTATGTGAATTCACAAGACGAAGTATTTATTTCTGTTTGGTTAATTAAAAAAAAAAAAAAAGAGTCATGAAGGAGGCAGCACTTGAGGAGCGGCCTGAAGGCGGGATCTGGATGCGCAGAAATGGAAATGAAGGTAGTTCGGAAGGACCAGGGGAGGTGAAGGCGTATCACCGCGCGTGGGAAGGGTGGGCACTCGACCCCCGAGGGCGATGAAGCTCTTGGGAAGGCCCCTGCAGCCGCTGGCCCAACTGCGGAACACGCGAGGAAGTGTCTCCGACACGGGTGTGCAACTACTGAAAACACATACGCACGCTTTCAACGGAAGTATCAGAAATCGCTCAAGAATCGGCCTGAATCCGCAACGGGGGCTGTGACTGCGTCATTTCCTAAAGTCGACGAACACCGAGGGCGCTCCCACGAGCTAGTTCAAGAGATTTTCCAGCGTCAGAAAACAAGGTCTGCGTTCAAGAAGGCGGGTGGGTTCCGGGGTTGGACGGGCCTGTGAACGGGTCCGCTTCATCTCCCGCGGGAAAGCCAGCCTCGCTCCTTACAACAGCGAGAGGGACCCGCGGCACATCCCGGGGGTCGGGCATCAGAGGGGCAGCTGGGTCCGAGCGGAGGCCGCCCTGAACACCAAGGTCACTAACGGGGACGTCGTTGGGGGGTGGGGAGGATGGGGATGATGGGGGTAGGGATGATGGGGTGGGGATGGTGGGGATGATGGGGTGGGGATGGTGGGGATGATGGGGGTGGGAGTGATGGGGGTGGGGATGGTGGGGGAGTGGGGTGATGGGGGTGGGGGGGATGGGGGGTGGGGATGGTGGGGGAGTGGGGGTGATGGGGGTGGGGATGATGGGGGTGGGGGGTGGGGTGGGGATGATGGTGAGGGGGTGGGTGGGGACGATGGGGGTGGGGGAGTGGGGATGATGGGGTGGGGGTGGGGATGATGGTGATGGTGGGGGGCTGGGTAAGGGGATGATGGGGTGATGGGGATGATGGTGGAGGGGTGGGTAGGGGGATGATGGGGTGATGGGGATGGGTAGGGGGATGATGGGGTGGGGAGGGGGGATGATGGGGTGGGGGTATGGGGGGACAGTGGCGGTAGGGATGGTGGGGGTGGCTCCCCAAGGGTTTCCAGGGGCCGGAGAATGGAGGGGGCCATAGTTGGGTCATTGCTGTGGCCGAGGCCCGAAGCGCGAGCCCGGAGTCTCTGGGGCGTCACAGGCCCTGACGCCTCCGCATTTCCCCGGGCGGGCGGAATGGGAGACAAGGCCCCCCCCCCGCCCCGCCCCGCCCCGCCCCGCGGGTGCCGCCCGCAACGGAGAGCAAACGCACCGGAAGTTCGGCTCGGGGCACCCTGAGCTCAGGCACGAAGCTGTCGGGGCCGAAAAGGGGCACAGGAAACAGCAAACGTAATCTACGCTGGAAAGAAAGCTCTGGAAGTTGTGCTCAGTCCCTTAAGACGAAGGAATTTTTAACTTTTTTCTTTTTTTTTTTTTTACAACACAATAGAGTCCGGGGACGCTAACTTGCGGTTTCCGAAGTGAACCTCCTGCACGCCCGCCGGGCTCCACTCGGCCGGACCTTCGGGCGCGCTCGTGACGTCACCGCGGCCCTGCGCGCTCCGGCGTCGCGAAGGACGCGGAGCGTCTTCACCAAAGAGACGTAAGGGGGCGGGGCAAGTCCCGCGGCGTCCTCGCGCGCCCCCGCGTGGCCGCTGGCTCTGACGTGGCCCACGGCGTCGCCCCCAGGACCCGCGCATGCGCCCAACCCCTCCTCCCCCCCCCCCCCCCCCGGCCCTTCGCAGCGGCGGGCGGCGGGCGACGCCTCCAGGTCACACCGCGAGGTGCAGGCGGCGGACGGGCTCGGCGCGGCGGAGCGATGGCGGAGGAGTCGAAGCGCGCCGGCTCGGAGTCGGGGCCGGCTTGTCAGGCCGCGGCCGCCGCAGACGCCGCGGAGTCCTCCCTGCAGGCCGCCGAGGTGGCCCCGAGGTCGTCGCGGGCGGAGGAGCAGGGCGGCAAGTGCGTGTTCTGCCGCATCGCCGGCCGGCGGGAGCCCGGCACCGAGCTGCTGCCCTGCGAGGTGGGCGGCGGGCGGCGGGGGCCGGGGGGCGGGGGGGCCTGCTGGTGCTGACCCACGGCGACCCGGAGCGGGACTGTCCCCCCCCGACGTCCCCCCTCTCGGAGCGGGACTATCCCCCGCGCGACGTCCTCCCCCCCCCAGCGGGATTGGCCCCGGACCGACGTCCTCCCCCCTCCAGCGGGACTGGCCCCCCATGTCCTCCCCCCCGGAGCGGGACTGCTCCCCCCGACGTCCTCCCCCCCCAGCGGGACTGCTCCCCCCGACGTCCTCCCCCCTCCAGCGGGACTGCCCCCCCCATGTCCTCCCCCCCGGAGCGGGACTGCCCCCCCATGTCCTCCCCGTCCCCCGGGAGCGGGACTGGGCCCCCCCACATCCTTCCCCAGAGCGGGACTGCGCCCCCCGACGTCCTCCCCCCCCTTGAGCGGGACTGCCCTCCCCGACGTCCTCCCCCCAGCGGGACTGGCCCCCCCCATGTCCTCCCCGTCCCCCGGGAGCGGGACTGGGCCCCCCCACATCCTTCCCCAGAGCGGGACTGCCCCCCCCCGACGTTCTCCCCCCCCCATGAGCGGGACTGTCCCCCCCCCCGGACATCCTCCCCCCAGAGCGGGACTGTCCCCAGGCCCCGACGTCCCCGCCCCCCAGCAGTGAGGGTCTCTGCCGGATCCTTGCTGTGCGGGTTGGGGCGCGGGTTGGGCGTGGGGACGGGACACCATGTAGCCATAAAGCCAAACTCTTGGGCCTCTGTGTGCAAGTAGGAGGTATTTGGCAGAAAATAGCATTTGTGGCCTGTTTTCTAGAGGGCCTGGTCCCCGCCTGCCCACCCCCGCCGCCCAGACCGGCCCTCACATCCTGCACAGGCCCCTGCCCCAGGGGAGAGAGCTGCTAGAGAGGAGCTCGTCATTGTAGAGGCTCCTTGGTTAGGCTCAGTGAAGCTGGGGGGGGGGGGGCACTGGGGCAGAGGTCGCACTGCTCCCCAGGGAAGGGCGCAGGTCCTACAGGTGGTGTCAGTTGGCACCGCGCACTTTTTCAGAGCACTAAGTACTGAAAACAGATAATCTGATACACATTTTCTTCTATCACTTCTACGTGCCTTTAAAGAAACTGCTTTGGGAGAGGATCAGCTCCAAAGATTTTGGGCTTTTTTGTTTTGTTTAGTTTTGTGTTTTTTTTTTTGTGATTCCTAATTCCTTTGTTGGAACAGATGCACTCCAATCTGTCGCAAGCACCTAGTGTTGGAGATTCACGGCTGAGTAGGAGGAAGGATAGTCGCTGTTCAGATGTCATAGGCTAAAGGGTGGCCTGAATACGGAGCAGGCGGCTGCAAGTCCCCGGAGCTTGGTGAGGTGGTCCTGAAGCGGGGGAGCTGGGTTCTTGTCTCCCTGAGTGGAAGCAGGAACCTCGCGGACCCAGGACAGTGAGCCTAGACGTAGAAGTCTACTAAGCAGAGATGCAGAGGAAGCTCTCAGGGGTGACCGTCCCCGCAGGGCTGCCCCTGGCGCCTTGTAGGTCTGCTTGTAGGTCTTCCGTTTATAGGGAACTGACCAGGGAACTTGGCAAATTCCGTGTCACTATCAGGGTGCATATTTAGAAGACAGGTGGGGGACTCCTAAGGTCATAATAGCCAAGGAGGTGTTCTTGTAAGTATCATGAGCCCAAACAAGGTGTTTACTTCTCAGGGTAACGTCTCCTCCCTAACCTCTCTCTACACCTGGGATTTCTGTAGCCTAGTCAGGTAGCCCGTGGCCTTGAGACTCTTGTGCCTCTTGGTGTGAGCAGGGACGATTGATAACCCCTTAATGACATATTTCTGTGATTAGTGGCCATTAAAAGGGGGGATACTCCCTCACATTTGGAGCTAGGAGACCAGGCTTACTTTTCTATTTTCAGTCTTCTCTCTGTTTCTTTGGAGTGGGTAGGAGCCTGAGCCTGGGGCCTTTCCCTGATCTTTCCCTGATCCTTCCCTGCCTAGTCCTGTCTGCCCCTAACCTGTTCCTACATCACTTCTACCACCCGCCATGTTTTGTTTAGCTGTGTGATCCCTTACCTCTCCAGCAGCAGCCACCTAGTTTTAGACAAGGTGAACCCATGGGTCAACCCATGGTTGGGGTCTGGCCCTGTAGGTGTTCCGTAAGCACAGTGGAACAAAGGTAAGGATTTATGGCTAGAGAGAGGCCTAAAGTGACAGACCTTGAAATCTATGCTGAATATCGGGGGAAGGAGTGAAGACTGGACACAGTTGACAGGGAGGAAGAATACGTGCCTCGGTGGTCTGGAAAGTACAGCGGCCTCTGCTGAACTGATCCGTGGAGTCCGGACAGACCGCTGAGCTCTGCTTCTTCATCCACTCCTTATCTCATCACATAAAAGATTAGGGTAGCCAGTACTAATTTTTTTTTTTTTTTTTTTTACTTCACAGAATTCAATATTCCTTAGATTCCTAGAAACTGCATTTAAATGTTGCACAATCTAGTACCCGTGTTGAGGAACACGAGTAAGTAATATATACTTGTAGTATAAAAAGTTTTGTCTAAAATTAGTCACCAAGAGGGGGTGGGATGGTTCAAACGTCTATCACAATGTTTTCCAGGCCAAAGGTCAGGATTTTTTCTCTTTAAAGAACATTCTCAGCCTGGGTGGCCCAGTTGGCCTGGCACCTGCCTTGGGCCCGGGTCATGATCCTGGAGACCTGGGATCGAGGCCCACGTTGGGCTCCCTGCTCGGCGGGGAGTCTCCTTGTCCCTCTACCTGCTTATGCTCTCTCTTAAATGAATAATAAAATGTTCCCAGAGAGAAGTATGTGAAAAGCCTGGAACATTTTTATAGAGGAAATTAGACACAGTCAATACTTGTAGCTAATGTGCACCCTACATAGAAGGCACAGGATGAATGTATGCTGTAGTCCGTGTAATACAGAACATAAGCAAGGTGCACATCTTGTAAACAGTGTCTCAAAAAGTAGATCTTTTAAATATTGAATGTAAGATGATTTCATATATAAGAGCTCACTAATTAAAGGTTAAAGATCTTTTTAAAAAGAGAACCCAATCTTTAATTTGTATGTTTTGCATTATATATATAGTGTATTTTTATATTTGTTCATGTTTATTATAAATATTGAGTAAAAACTCTATATATACTATAGCCTTATATTCATTCATATATGTTTCTTATAAATAGAAACTACTGGATTGATATAAAGTAGGGTAGACATAATTAAGTACAGAGGAGAAAATTTGATTTGGAATAATTGGAGTTATTAGCATCAGAGGGCTTAGTCCAGGAAACTTTTCTGGCAAAAGCCAGAGAAGATTCCTTGCTCCAGAACTGTATACTGTATTTTTGTTGTATACTGCAGAGTTGAAACTAAGCAAATACTATGCCATGCATTCTCGGGGTGGGGAGAAAAAAGTTGGTTTTGGGGGGATGGTATGAGGCAAAGGCAAACATGATAGACATAAACAGGTAAGGAGTATATCTGCAATATCGAAATACCATGAGAGTGGAATCAGGGAAAAAAGTCTTCAGAACGTCCTCGAGGGGTGACTGAAAACATGGTTGAGAAATACCAGGCTAGATGTTTATTTTTATCTTGCTTGAGGCCATGCTGAGGAAATACTGGTTTAACTTTAACGTCCTCCCTCTTCTTTAATCAAATTCACCCTACACGTCAGATGGTGTGATACTGAAATGTTCTTTCAAATGTTGCTTTAGATATCAGTCGGGGGTCAGCTGCAGAGAGAAAAACTAGCTATTTAAAGCAGAAATTGATGTAATATAGGGAATTATATGCTTTAAAAAAAGGTTGTTGCAAGGGCTTAAGGAAAAACCTTCAAGAATGACATCCAGGGGCACCTGGGTGGCTCAGTGGTTGAGCACCTGCCTTCGGCTCGGGTCATGACCCCAAGGTCCTGGGATCCAGCCCTGCTTTGGGCTCCTGGCGCGCAGCGCGCAGCTGCAGCCAAGAGCCTGCTTCTCCCTTTCCCTCTGCTGCTCCCCCTGCTTGTGCCTGCGCAATCTCTCTCTCTCTCTCTTCCTTCCTCCCTCCTTCCCTCCCTCCCTCCCCGTTAAATAAAAATCTTAGAAAAAAAAAAAAAAAAGAATGACATCCAGAGCAGCACTTCACCTGACAACTGGCAGACTGAGGACATGTTTCTTCTGCCCCAGCAGGATGCTGTGGTTCCTGGGGACTGCCCTTGGAACTAGACTTCGGGAAGATGCCTCTGTAGGGGTGACTCAGGGGTGAGGAAGAAGTGTGACCGCCACCGTTGAGCGGTGTTCCCAGGGGGAGAACTATTGGCATTTTGGGTTGGATTCTGCTTTGTTGTGCAGGGCTCTTCCACCTGTTGGAGGATGTAGCCCATTTCTGGGCACCAAATGCTGGTAGCACCTCCATATTTCTACTCCCCTTTGAAAGATAACACAACTAAAGAGCTACGCTCTACGTGCTATGTCCACACCGGTAGGCCCTGGCACCAAAACAATGGGTGTCTCATGCCTGTCTCTTGACTCACGTGATGCTATTGACTAGATGTTGGCATAGGGGGCGGGGGAGAAGGAAAAAAGAAACTCGGTAGTCTTAGAGCTGGCCATGTTTGCCTGCTGGAACTAGCGGAAGCCATGGAAAGATGGCTTTTTCTCAGGTTAGCTTGTCAAAGCACCTAAGTCTGAAATATATCTAGTTGGCAAGATCTAAATTCCATCTGGGATTTTGGATTTTTAAATTTCTGTAGTTCAGGGACACCTGGGTGGCCCAGCAGTTGAGCATCTGCCTTTGGCCCAGGGCGTGATCCCCGGGGTCCTGGAATCAAATCCCACATCGGACTCCCTACAGGGAGCCTGCTTCTCCCTCTGCCTATGTCTCTGCCTCTCTCTCTCTCTGTCTCTCATGAGTAAATAAATACAATAAAAATAAATTTCTGTAGTACATAGAAGTATTTAGAATGGAAGTTGAGTGCCCATCTACCCTGTTCACCAAAGTTTATTTGTTGTGTTTAATGAATGTTTAGCCCAGATGCTTAGATTCAGTGCTGATAATGAAGTCAGCATAGGCTAGCTGTTTGTCTAATCCATGCATTCTCAAAAGGGGTAAAAATTGATGTTCTTACCTGGGACAGGGACATGGGCAAATTTTTTTTATTATTTACATATATAAAATACAGGTAAGCATATAGGATATAAACACATGTACAATTTGGCTGTGGTATTAAAATATTGGGGGGTGGAGCAATTAGGAAAAAAAAGTCTGAAAAGTTTCCTTAGAGGTATGGCAATGAAAAAGGCTGAGAAACACTTAAAATCAAACAATGGCCATAATTCTGACTTTAAGAGGGGTTCTATAAGAACAGACTGAAAGATCATGGAAAGTTTATCTCTGTTACTGGAAAAGGATGTAAAAACTATAATGACACCATTTTTTTTTTAAGGAGGAGAGGAGGGAGCATTGGTAGCTTTATCTTTCTACTTAAACATCTTTTATTTACATTTATTTATTAAACAATCTTTCAAGTTTACTATGTGGTATTCACTTGTAGTTCAAGGATAAATAGGGCATGTCCCACGCTTGAGAAGCTTGCCTGTGATCTGTATTGAAAGCATAAATGAAAAAAAAAAAAAAAAGAAAGCATAAATGGAAAGTTTTCATTTAGTGGTTGTCATTAGGGATGGATAGTCAGATTTCTGTGTCTTAAAGTCACTTGAAATATCTTTTTTGGGGGGCATCTGGGTGGCTCAGTTGGTTAAGCATCTGCCTTCAGCTCAGGTCTTGGTCCCTGGGTGGTGGGATCCGCTCTGCTTGGGGCTCCTGGCTCAGCGGGGAATCTGCTTCTCCTCTTCCCTCTCCCTCTGCCCGCCCCTCCTCCTGTGTGCTCTCTCTCGTTGGCTCTAGCTCTCTCTGTCTCAGATAAATAAAAATCTTTACAAAAAAAGAAAGTTCTTTGTGTAGCTATGTTATCAATGTGACATACAGTTAGGTTTATTTTATTTGTTTCCATTTGTTTTCAATTTTAGGGATTATTTTCTTTTTAAGTTCAAAAGCATGTTAAGTATTCATGTTTTGCAGTCCAACTTATAAAGCTGAGTACATTTGGTAAAGTCTAGCATCCATTCTTTTGTCTTTACCCTGTTCCTCTTCCCTCACAAGAAACTGAAAAATATATTTTTGGTTTTTCCTTCCATTGTGAGAATCCGTATGTGTTTATTTATATTTGTAATTTGTATTCCCCCCAGTGGTTAACCTCGTGGTTAGATGGCCTAACCACTCTCCTGTTCCTTGCTTTATTTTTTTTAACTTTGAAGTGTACTTCAGAAATGATTTCATAAGTATTTAAAGATCTTTCTCATTGCTTTTTATAGCTACGTATTACTTCGTTGTATGGACTCGCTATTCAGCCAGTCTCCTCTAATTGAATCATGGACACTTGGGTTCTATTCTTTTTTCTTTCTTTCTTTTTTCTTGGTATTACAAGTCATGCTGCAAACGATAGCTTTGTATGTGCATCGTTGCTATCTCTTTTGTCATCGTGTCTTTGGAATAGGAGAAAGTCTTTCTTAAAATGAAGAAAGAGGAGAGAGGGTAACATCAGAGGGCCAGTTTCAATATTTTAGAAAGCTTAATGGAAATCTAATTCAATCATAGGTGGAATAGGCTAACTAAAATGCATTGGTTTTCCTTCACCTATTTGCCCCTCAACCTTCCCTCTAACAGCTACCAGTTTGTTCTTAGTGTCATATGCTTTAGTCCATCCATGTTGTCACAAATGGCAAGATCTCATCCTTTTATGACTAATATTTCATTGTATATGTGTCATATCTCCTTTATTCATTCATTTATTGATGGATTCCCAGGTTGCTTCTATGTCTTAGCTGTTGTAAGTAGTGCTGCAATAAATGTAGGGGTGTGTATATCTTTTGAATTAGTGTTTTCATTTTCTTTGGTAAATAAATACACAGTAGTGGAACTGGTGGATCATATGGTATTTCAGTTTTTAATTTTTTGAGGAAACTCTGTACTGTCTCCACAGTGGCTGCCCCAGTTTGTATTCCCATCAACAGTGCACAAGGACTTCCTTTTTTCCACATTCATCCCAACACATATTTCCCGTCTTTTTTTCATATTAGCCATTGGATTGGTGTGAAGTTTCATCTCACTGTGGTTAGATATGCATTTCTCTGATGATTAGTGGTGTTGAGCATCTTTTCATATATCTTTTAGTCATTGAATATTTTTTTATATAAAATATTGGAAAAGCTTATTTAGGGAATATTGATTTTCCTTTTGGAAAGGTTTGAAACTCAAATGTCAGTAAGTTGAAAGACTCCCTTTTTCATTTCTTTTTTCCCTTACATGACTATGTGGAGTATGCAAATCAGAAAACTAATATAATGGATTGGACACTTAGTACAATACACTGGAGTTTGTATCAGCATTTCAAAGGATTTTTAATGCTGTAAACATAAAGTATTTGTATATAACTGCTATAAAAATTTTAAAATGGTAATTTCTGGATATGAAGATGCTGGATGAATTTCCTATTATAATTGAGGAATATGCTACTTTGGAAAAAAATTAAGTCTAAAAAAGAATTTATCACTCTTGCTAAGTTTCTATAGTCAAACCTTTAAAGGTAGTTATAAAGAGTAAAAAACCCTTAGGTAGACATGGAGAAATATATAACGAAATAAAAAAAAAAACTCTAGGATTGTTGGTAATGAAGTTTCTTTTAGTTTTGTTGTTTTTTTTAAAGATTTATTTATTTGAGAGAGAAAAAGGGCAGGAGTGGGAGAGACAGAGGGAGAGGGAGAGTCTCAAGCAGACTCCCCACTGAGTATGAAACTGGACACGGAGCTTGATCTCACAACCCTGTGATCATGACCCTGAAATCATGACCTGAGCCAAAACCAAGAGTCGGACACTTAACCCTCTGTGCCACCCAGGCGCCCCTTTGGTAATGAAGTTTGAATGAACTTCATTGATAATTGTTTTCCTGAAATTAGCTTTATGTAAATCTTCATTTTCTGTAACAAATGAACATCTCATGAAGGACGCTAAAGCTGGTCTCTATGAACTTAATGCATAATCACAAAATTCCCCAGCTGGGCTTAAATGTAACAGGAGTACGATTTCCCTATCATATTGAGATTTGTGGTATTTCAGACATGCCAGAACAGCATTAGGAAATTCTTTTTAAAAAACTAACAAATGATATGTTTTTCCTTCAGAATGAGGACCTCGTTTGCTTCAAAGATATCAAACCAGCAGCACCTCATCATTATCTTGTGGTGCCAAAGAAGCATCTTGGAAACTGTAGAGAGCTAAAGAAAGATCACATAGAACTGGGTAAGATGATGGTGGCAGTATTTTTCATGGCTATCTCATCCTGAATTGGCAACAGTGATAGCAGTGACAGTCAAGAAGAAAAAGTCTAGCCAGGTGTTATGAAAAAGGAGCATTGTGACTTTGTGAAACTTCTATTATGAAAAATTTCAAGTATGTACAAAAAATAAAGAAAATAGTGTAATCTCCAAGTCTTCATTACCCAACTCCACATTTATTAGCTTGTGGCCAGTCTTTTTCATCTATTAACCTTCTCCCACAGTGGATTTGAAGCAAATTCCAGACATCGTGTTATTTAATCTTTAAGATCTCTAAAAGATAATATCTCTCTGTTTTTTAAATGATGGCTTTCCTTGACTCTGAAAATGGAAAGTGCTAAAAAAAAAAATGAGACCATATTGGTGCCTGCCTTGTAAGTTTCTTGTGTAGATGAACTAACACCAAAGTTTAGTTATGAGATTTTAGCAATGCCCTTTTAGCTTCTGAAAAGATTTTGTATCTTGTTTTCTTACAGGATTATCCTACATTTTCCTACTTATGAGTTCTGTGACTTACCAGTTAGCATTTCCTAAGTCATTTCTTTTTCTTTTTTTTTTTTAAGATTTTATTTATTTATTCATGAGAGACATAGAGAGAAAGAGAGAGAGGTGCAGAGACACAGGCAGAGGGAGAAGCAGGCTTCATGCAGGGAGCTCGATGTGGAACTCGATCCCGGGTCTCCAGGATCACGCCCTGGGCTGCAGGCGGCGCTAAACCGCTGCGCCACCGGGGCTGCCCTCACCTTGTATCTTTGGGGTAAATCCCCTGTAGTGCAAATGCTGGGTTATAGGGTAGCTCTATTTTTAACTCTTTGAGGAACTTCCACACAGTTTTCCAGAGTGGCTGCACCAGTTTGCATTCCCACCAACAGTGCAAGAGTGTTTCCCTTTTTCCACATCCTCGCCAACATTTATTGTTTCCTGTCTTGTTAATTTAGCCATTCTCACTGGTGGATCATTGTGGTTTTGATTTGTATTTCTCTGATGACAAGTGATGTGAAGCATTTTTTCATGTGCTTGTTGGCCATGTGCAGGTCTTCTTTGGAGAAATGTCTGTTCATGTCTTCTGCCCATTTCTTGACTGGATTGTTTGTTTCTTGGGTGTTGAGTTTGAAAAATTCTTTATGGATCTTAGATATTGGCCCTCTATCTGATATGTCATTTGCAAATATTTTCTCCCATTTTGTAGGTTGTCTTTTAGTTGTGTTGACAGTTCCCTTTGCTGTGCAGAAGATTTTTATCTTGATGAAGTCCCAATAGTTCATTTTCTGCTTTTGTTTCCCTTGCCTTCATAGATGTGTCTTGCAAGAAGTTGCCATAGCAAAGTTTAAAATTGTTGTTCCCTATGTTCTCCTCTAGGATTTTGATGGATTCTTATCTCACATTTAGATCTTTCAACCATTTTATCTTTGTGTGTGGTGTAAGAGAGTGATCTAGTTTCATTCTTCTGCATGTGGCTGTCCAATTTTCCTAACACCATTTATTGAAGAGACTGTCCTTTTTCCATTGGATATTCTTTGCTGCTTTGTCGAAGATCAGTTTACCATAGAGCTGAGGGTCCACTTCTGGGTTCTCTGTTCTGTTCCATTGATCTATGTGTCTGTTTTTGTGCCAGTACCACACTGTCTTGATGATCAAAGCTTTGTAGTACAACGTGAAATCTGGCATTGTGATGCCCCCAGCATTGATTTTCTTTTTCAACATTCCTCTGGCAATTCAGGGTCTTTTCTGACTCTATACAAATCTTAAGATTGTTCCAACTCTGTGAAGAAAGTCCATGGTATTTTGATAGAGCCTGCATTGAATGTGTAAATTGCCCTGGGTAGCATAGACAGTTTCACAATATATATTCTTCAATCCATGAGCATGGAATGTTTTTCTGTCTCTTTGTGTCTTCCTCAATTTCTGTCATAAGTGTTCTGTAGCTTTTAGAGTACAGATCCTTTACTTCTTTAGTTAGGTTTATTCCTAGGTATTTTATGCTTTGGGGTGCAACTGTAAATTGGATTGATTCCTTAATTTCTTTTTTCTTCAGTCTCATTTTTAGTATATAGAAATGCAACTTATTTCTGTGCATTGATTTTGTATCCTGCCACACTGCCGAATTGTTGTACAAGTTCTAGCAGTTTTGGGGTGGATTTTTTTGAGTTTTCCCTATACAGTATCATGTCATCTGTTAAGAGTAAGAGTTTGAAAAAAAAAAAAGAGTGAGAGTTTGACTTCTTTGCTAATTTGAATGCCTTTTATTTATTTTTGTTGTCTGATTGCTGAGACTAGGACTTCTAGTACTATATTAAGCAACAGTGGTGAGAGTGGGCATCTCTGTCATGTTCCTGACCTTAGGGGCAAAGCTCTCCCCATTGAGAATGATATTCATTGGAGGCTTTTCATAGATGGCTTTTATAATATTGAGATATGTTCCCTCTATCCCTACAGTTTGAAGAGTTTTAATCAGGAAAGGATGCTGTATTTGCCAAATGCTTTCTCGGCATCAATTGAGAGGATCATGTGGTTCTTATCTTATCTTTTCTTTTCTTTTTTTATTTTTATTTTTTAAAGATTTTATTTATTTATTCATGAGAGACCCAGAGAGAGAGAGAGGCAGAGACACAGGCAGAGGGAGAAGCAGGCTCCATGCAGGGAGCCTGACATGGGACTCGATCCCAGGACTCCAAGACCACACCCTGGGCCGAAGGCAGGTGCCAAACCGCTGAGCCACCCAGGGATCCCCTATCTTTTCTTTTATTAATGTGATCTATCACACTGATGATTTACAAATGTTGAACCACTCTCGCATCCTAGAGATAAATCCCACTTGGTCGTGGTGAGTAATCCTTTTAATGTACTTTTGGTTCTTATTGGCTAGTATCTTGGTGAATATTTTGACATCCATGATCATCAGGGATATTGGTCAGTAATTCTCCTTGATAGGGTCTTTGTCTGGTTTTGGGATCAAGATAATGCTGGCTTCATAGAATGAGTTTGGAAGTTTTCTTTCTATTCTACCTTTTGAAACAGCTTTAGTAGATTAGGTATTATTTCTTCTTTAAATGTTTGGTAGATTTCCCCTGGGAAGCCATCTGGTCCTGGACTTTTGTGTCTTGGAAGGTTTGTGATGGCCGCTTCAATTTCCTTGCTGGTTATTGGTCTGTTCAGATTTTCTATTTCTTCCTGTTTCAGTTTAGGTAATTTATAGGTTTCCAGGGATGCATCCATTTCTTCCAGATTGCCTGATTTGTTGGCATAGAGTTGCTCGTAATATGTTCATAAAATCATTTGTATTTTCTTGGTGTTGGTTGTGATCTCTCCTCTTTCATTCATGATTTTTTTAATTTGAGTCTTTTTTCTTTTCAATAAGTCTGGCTAGGGATTTATCTATCTTATTAACAAGTCTTTCAAAGTACTAGCTCCTGGTTTTGTTGATCTGTTCTACTGTTCTGGTTTCTATTTCAATGAATTCTGCTCTAATCTTTCTCATTTCTCTTTTCCTGCTTGATTTAGGCTTTATTCACTCTACTTTCTCCAGTTCCTTTAGTTGTAAGGTTAGCTTGTGTATTTGAGATTTTTCCAATTTTTTTGAGAGGGGCTTGGATTGAAATGTATTTCCCTCTTAGGACGCCTTTGCTATATCCCAGAGATTTTGAACAGCTGTGCCTTCATTTTCTTTGGTTTGCATGAATCTTTTTTTAATTGTTTTCAAATTTTCTGGTTGACCCATTCATGTTTTAGTGAAATACTCTTTAACCTCCAAGTGTTTAAGTTCCTTCCAAATTTCTTGTGATTGAGTTCTAGTTTCAAAGCATCATGGTCTGAAAATATGCAGGGAATAATCCCAGTCTGTTGGTATTGGTTGAGACCTGATTTTGACCCAGTATGTGATCTATTCTAGAGAAAGTTCCATGTGCACTTGAGAAGAATGTATATTCTACTGCTTTAGGATGGAATGTTCTGTATATATCCATGAAGTCCATCTGGCCCAGTGTGTCATTGAAAACCCTTGTTTCATTGTTGATCTTCTGTTTAGAAGATCTGTTCTTTGCTGAGAGTGGAGTGATGAGGTCTTCTACTATTAATTTATTATCTATGTGTTTCTTTGCTTTGGTTATTAACTGGTTGATATAATTGGCTGCTCCCACATTAGGGGCATAAATATTCTTAATTGTTAGGTTTTTCTTGTTGTATAGAACCTTTCAGCATGATATAGTGTCCATCTTCATCTCTTATTAAAGCCTTTGGTTTAAAATGTAATTTATTGGTATGAAGATTACTACCCCAGCTTTCTTTTGAGGTCTGTTTGCATGGTAAGTGGTTCTCCACTCCTTCATTTTTAGTCTGGAGGTGTCCTTAGATCTAAAATGAATCTCTTGCAGACAGCATATACATGGGTCTTGCTTTTTTATCCTGTCTGATATCCTGTGTCTTTTGACTGGACCATTTAGCCCATTCATGTTCAGAGTAACTATTGAAAGATATGAATTTAGTGCCATTATATTACCTGTACAGTCTGTATTTCTGCAGATTGCCTCTGTTTTTTGGGCTTTCTCTTTGCTCACAGGATCCCTCTTAATATTTCTTGAAGGGCTGGTTTGATAGTCACATACTCTTTCAGTTTCTGTCTCCTGGAAGCTCCTTATCTCTTCTTCTATTCTGAATGACAGCCTTGCTGGATAAAGTATTCTCGGCTGCATGTTTTTCTCATTTAGGAGCCTGATATATCATGCCAGCCCTTTCTGGCCTGCCAGGTCTCTGTGGATAAGTCTGCTGTTAATCTAGTATTTTCCCCCCTATATGTTAGGAATCTCTTGTCTTGAGCTGCTTTTAGGATTTTCTCTTTATTTCTGAAATTTGCAAGCTTCACTATTAATACGTTGGGGTGTCGATCAGTTTTTGTTGATTTTGGGAGGGGTCCTCTCTATCTCTTGGATATGAATGCCTGTTCCCTTATCTAGGGAAGTTCTCAGCTATGATTTTTCATAAATACCTTCTGGTTGTCTCTCTCTCTCCATACCCTCTGGAATCCCAATAATATGGATTTTTTTCAAACTATTACTTAATTCTCGGAGCCTCTCCTTGTGGGCTGTTAGTTGTTTTTCTCTCTTTTCCTCAGCTTCCTTCCTTTCCATCAACTTGTCTTCTATGTCACTTACTTTCTCTTCTGCTGCATTTACCCTAACTGTTAAGAGCATCCAGTTTAGACTGTATCTCAGAGTATTTTTAATTTCTGCCTGATTAAATCTTATTTCTTCAGTAAGACATTCTCTAGAATCTTTTATGCTTTTTTCCAAATCCAACTAGTAACTTTATAATTGTAATTCTGAATTCTCTCTCCCAACATTTTACTTAAATCCATATCTATTAGATCAATGGCAGAGAACATTACCTCTGTTTTTTTTTCTTTTGTGGTAAATTCTTCCTTCTGGTCATTTTGTCCAGTGCAGAATGGCTGTACAAATGAGCAGAGTCAAAAATATCAACCACAACCCAACCAAAATACTCACTAGACAATTCTGAGGAGGTCAGGGACCAGAAAATAAAAGATAAAAGACAAAGAAAAAGAAAAAAAAGTGTGGGGGGGGGCGGGGGAGATGGTGAAAGAAAGAGATTATAATCTCACAGAGCAGACCAAAACAATGCTCCACTTGGTTCTGAATGTTTTTTTGGTCTGTATGTTAGAAGGTACTAAATTCCAAAATTATGTAAAAAAACCTATATATATATATATATATATATATATATATATATATATATATATATTTACACACAGAAATAAAATTGAATATGGTGAAAGAAAGCCAAAAATGAAGAATATATCAATAATATGTAATTGTATAAAAAAAACATGGAATTGTAAAATATGAAAGTTAAAAAAGAAAAATCTTAAAAATGAAGAGTTGATAAGATATTATAGTTAAGATGGGAAAAAAGAAAGAATATTGGAAAATTTTAACCTAAAAGATAAACAGATCATAAGAAAAAAACCCCTCAAGTTCTATATACTGTTTTCCCCTAGTCCTGGAGCTTTCCAGTGCTGCTTGGTCAGTAAACTTGCTGTTCCCCTGGTCTTTCTGGGGGGTCTCCTGGGGGAGGGGCCTACTGCGCTGTTTCTTAGGTGTCTATGCCTGGGTGCAGTTGTACTGCTCCTTGCCAGGTGGCCAGGCTCAGTGTGAGCTGTTTGCCCTGTGAGGTCTTTGTTCGATGAAAGGGGGATAAAAAACTGAAACTAGATCTCCAGTTCCAGAGCCAGGAGATCCCAGCGTGTGCCTACCCACTCAGATCCTTCCCAGGGGCAGGGAGAGGTGGAGACACTGGTTGTGCAATTTGCAGGGCTCCTGCCGGAGAGGTTTTGCCTGGTTGTGCCCACACCTGCTCCACCCCTCCCAGATGGAAGCAGAGGGTTGCTGCATTCTAGTCCTTTGCAGGGACCCAGCACGGAGAGCAGTCTCCTGTCCCGGTTTGTGGTTAATGACGCAACATGCTGAGCCTTCTTCCAAGCTCGCTGACCTAAACCCATTTCCCTGCGCCAGTGCTTGGGAACTCTGCTGGCTTGGGCACCCCTGTTCCTCCTGATCCTCTGGGAATATTGAGACCCCACTGTCCCTCCTGCGAGTTGGCCCCGCTTCCCCCACTGAGCTCACCTTCCGGGCAGGGAAGTGTCTCACAGGAGCAGGTTTCTAAAGGTCCTGGTTTTGAGCTCCAGGGTTGTATCACTGTCCTGCAGCCAGCTTGCAGTCTTCCGCCTCCGTCCCCCGCAGTTTATCTTTGATATATCCCCCCCCCATTTCTCTTCTCTGTACTCCTACCTTGCAAGAAGTGTTCACTTTTCTATTTGTGGAGTTCCAGCCTTCCTTACATCTCAGACTGAATTCATAGGTGTTCTGGATGGTTTGATAGTTATCTGGCTAAATTTGGGGGGACCAGATGAAAGAGGACCCCCCCGTCCTTCTGCCATCCTGCCTCCTCTCTCGGTTTCGCTTTTGTATTATTATTTTTTAAATGTAGTATGAAAATCTCTGACTTTTAATTGGAGTGTTTAGTTCATAAATGTTTAATAACTATTGATGCAGTTTGATTTAGGTGTACTATCTTGCCATTTGTTTTCTGTTTGTCCCATTTTTTGTTGTTATTGCTGTTTCTTTCCCGCCTTTTTGTGGTCAAATATATTTTTTGTTATTCTACTCTTAATTTATTTCTTGCTTTTTTACGTATTACTCTTCACGCTTTTTAAAATGGTTGCTCGAGAGAGATTAAAATACTCATTGTGTAATTATAATAATACAATGAGAATTCACATTTTATCAGTTCATGAGAAATGTGAGAAACTTTGCAATACTTTGTGTTATTGTTGTCATATCTGCATACTTTATAAAATGGTACTGTTAAAATTATTGCTTTAAGCAGTCATATGTCTTTTAAAGAAGTTAAAAGAGAGAACATTCTTTTCCCCCATGTCTGGGATCTTGGGAGTATTTTAAAAGAAAACAAGATACAGTCTTGCTTGAAGTAACCTGACTTTTTTTTTTTTAGATGGTATGGTCTTGTCCTCCTGGCTCAACCCTGACTTAGAGAAGTAAACATTAGCAACAATTTTATGAGTGTTTTTTAATACAAGCACCCTCTGTAGATTCTCTCATTTCTTTCCCCTTCCAAATACTTGGTTACACCATTCAGAAACAAAAGAAGTATAAAGTTTGACATTGTGCTTTAGAGATTGCAGGTTTACCAAAATTTCTCTCATGGGAAAGCATAATCCTATCCAAAGACCATAAAGTACCAAGACAGTAGAGACGCTAAAGCAGATAGAATTCAGAAGCCAAAACAATTATACAAACATATAGCTAATTAAAGTAGGCTGACATAAAAGCCTATCATATCCTCATTTGGGCTGAAAGACAAATTTCTTGTCTTTCCTGTCTCTCTTCTTAATTCAGACATACTTGCTTATTACTTTGTCTCCTTATGATCAGAGGTAGACCTCAGTAGGATCAGATGTCCTAGGTGTAGTCCCTTGATCGCGCTCAACAGCTATTCACAGTCAGCCTATACATCGTACTTTGTGGTAGGTGGAATCTTCCTGTCAGGTTAATGAGCAAACTTCTCAGTAACTTAGACCTATTAAACAGGTCTTTAAACGTTTACCTATTGGATACAACTTTGACTAGATCAGAAGAGTTAAAATTCATTACAATTTAGTAATGTCTTCTACTATAGTGTAATGTAGTTTCTTTCCTGTTTTATAGTTGAGAGCATGGTAGCTGTTGGGAAAACCATTCTTGAAAGGAATAATTTCACTGACTTCAAAAATGCAAGGTATGTATACTTCCAGATAGAAACCAATATATGCAGCTGGTTTTTCTGAAACGTTGTTTCCTCCTGGGAAATAAAAGTAGAGGTGGCAGACATGCAGTTTTCCTGAAAGTGAGCATACATTGTTCATTGGTAGTATAAATTTAATAAATCTTCTTACTCTCATAGGGTAATATGTCTCATTGTCTTAGCATCTAATAATCACCTCTTGAAGTTTGGGCAGACAAGTATATTTAAACAGCAGGTAAGTAAAATAGTTACAAGTCCACCTTTCTTTATTCAACATGTGCATTTCTTAAAAAACTGTGTAAATTGAATTTCTTTAGAAAATATTTTATTTTATGTGATTTAAAAATATATTATTATACTTCAAGTATGAAATTAGCTTGAATTTGTTGCCTGCAGAACTGATCTTGGGCATTCACCAAAGTTTGAGCAAAAAGCATATAATGGTCAATGTGGCAACTATTTTACTTAATCTAAATAGTAGATTTTTAAAACACTTCTGGCTTTGCCTTGTGTAACCAAAGGAGATTACTTCTAACATCTGAACTGGAATTCAAAGAGACCTGAATTCTAATGTTACCCATGCTATTTGCTGTGTACTGTGCTCATACTGGCTGTGCTAGTTGAGACATTTAACATATCCAAGATAATACCTCCTCTGCCTACTTATAGGTTAAAATAAGATTGTGGGTGTGAAAATCCTCTAGAAACTGGGGACGCCTGGGTGGTTCAGCTGTTGAGCACCTTTTGGCTGAGGTCGTGATCCTGGGGTCCTGGGATCGAGTCCTGCATTGGGCTCCCTGCATGGAGTCTGCTTCTCCCTCTGCCTGGGCTCCCTGCATGGAGTCTGCTTCTCCCTCTGCCTGTATCTCTGCCTCTCTCTCTCTCTGTGTCTCCCACGAATAAATAAATAAAATCTTAAAAAAAAAGAAGAAGAAGAAAATCCTCTGAAAACTATCAAGCACTATTGAAGGGTGATAATGACAAGGAACAGATGGTCTTTGAGACCCTATGGCCAAAGAGCAGCACATTCCCTTCCCAGTCATAGGAATGCATCTTAGAAGAATGAACATTGGACTGAGTCTCAATCCTCACTCTACCACTGCTTGACTTTGCGACCTTGGGAAGTCTCCTACTTTTTGGATCTTGGCTTCCCCATCTTTGAAATGAAAGAGTTGAATGAACCCTTCAGTTGCTTCTAGCTTTTAGATTACTTGATTCTGTATTACACAGAGGGAGAACCCAGTCTGTCTTTTCTAGGTAGTTGTGGAAGCTTTTCCATGTGTGTTGTGTTTATGACTTTCCATCGTCAATCCTGTGTTGACGCAATATACCACTTCTTTGCCTTCCTCCTACACTCCCACTGTTTTTTTTTTTTTTTTTTTTTTTTTTTTTTTTTTTATTGAGACTCACTTCTAGTTTCAGCAGACAGAAATTTGTAGGCTTGGATTATTACTACAAGTGCACCTTGCTCCACTCAGAAATTCTAAGGGGACTTAACTGTAAGCTGATTTTTAAGAGATAGAACATATTAAAAAAATTTCTTCGTAGAAATTTGTTAGTAGTCAAAGGAATTCTTTTGTAAGTGTTTTATAAAACAGATAATTATGAATAATTCTCATCTAACTTATTTTCATTATTAAACAAGAAACTTGAGTGATGATAAAAGTTTTTCAAATAATGATATAATTAACCTAACCACTAGAAGATGGGTTGATAAGGAAATGACTACTTTCTGAAAGGAGGTGGCTATGTCTTAGAATAAGGGAACCCTTGAGTGTTCTGTAATTTTTTTTTTTTTTAAAGAAAAGGGTGGAATTTATACCAAACGTAGTACACAACAAACAACTTCATGACTCAGCTGTGCAGTCTAAGTTAAAGATCCCAGGAGTGCCCTGTAATTTTTTTAAAGATTCATTGCAGAGTCGTATCTTACGAGAATTAAACATTTAAATTGTTAAGGGCCGAGGTGATAAAACATAATGCAAACTCGGAATTCGTAAAGGTTTTACTGAGACATAATATGCTCTTAAGCTCTTCCTTGATGAAGAGTTTGTTACTGTGAACTTCAGCACAATGAGAGGAGGAAGTGTTTGACTATTGGGAAATGTATAAAGAAAGCAGTAAAAGAGATGTTTGAGTGGCAGTCTACCGTAGGTAACCTGTTTGGGGTATCTTAATATTAATGTGTTTTGACATAAAAAAATAGCTTTAAATTGTTGTAGAACTGCTTTGCCAAGTATCTCTTACCTTTCTGTTTTAGAATGGGTTTCCATATGCCTCCATTCTGCTCCATTTCTCACTTGCACCTTCACGTTCTGGCGCCTGTTGATCAACTTGGCTTCTTATCAAAGTTGGTTTATAGAGTGAATTCCTATTGGTTTATTACAGTAAGTATTATTATAGTAGCAGCATACACAAATACTTAAAATATTTGTCCTTTTTTTTTTTTTTGTAGTTCTTCTTTTCTTGGCAACTGTAGGCACTTAACAACCCTCATCCTCTTGATCTCTCTCTTAATGTTCTGCTCACACATATCCAAAGTAATATTTTTAATATAAGAGATCCTCCAGGTTATCAGATCTGTAGGAAGAGAAGCTATGGCTAAGTCTCCATTGCCAGAACAGTTCAGCACCCAGGGTCCAATCTGGATTGAAACTTTGGCTCTGTGTTTTACGTGATGTCCCATGTGCAAGTTACTTAAATGTTTTATGGCCCAAGTTCTTTATCTATTACCTGTGTAGAAGGAATACTGCCCACCTGTAGGGTTGCTAAGAGGATCAGTAAAATAATTTACATATAAAGCACTTAAAACTATACCTTGCAAATAGTAAGTACTAGTAAATACTACCAGCTGGGGGATCCCTGGGTGGCGCAGCGGTTTGGCACCTGCCTTTGGCTCAGGGCGCGATCCTGGAGACCCGGGATCGAATCCCACGTCGGGCTCCCGGTGCATGGAGCCTGCTTGTGTCTCTGCCTCTCTCTCTCTCTCTGTGACTATCATAAATAAATAAAAATTAAAAAAAATACTACCGGCTGCCTCTGTTATCATCACCAACATTATGGTAGAAATTGAATTGTTGTAATTTTCTAATTGAGTAAAGGGCTGCCCTGGTAGCATCAATGGTCAGATCTGAGGTTCAAGCCATTGAGCTAAAAAAAAAAAAAAATGGCAGATTTCTGCTTTTCTGGGGCAAAAGTAGACTAGAATTCAAGCTGATTATGGGCCTGTTGCCTGACAGTCAAGCGTTAGTTATAGAGTTAATGGTTCATCTTGAATCTGCACTCTCCTTAGATCTGTCAGCATATATTATGAGACTTTGGAAAAAATCAAGATAAAGATAATTGATTTCAAAATATCTTAAATGATGTTTCAGATATATAAGAGGTTTTTTTGAAATAATAACCAGAATGCTTTGGTTTACTTTTAAATTTTTTAAATAGATTTTATTTTTTAGAGCAGTTTTAGGTTCACACAGTAAGACTGAATGGAAAGTACAGAGAGTTCCCATATTCCCTCTGTCCTCCATATACTCACAGTCTCCCACTGTGGACATCCTACATCACAGGGATACATTTGTTATAATCCATGAAATTAGTGACATATCATCTTTACCCAAAGTTCATAATTTACATTAGGGTTTATTGTTGGTATTGTATCTTTTATGAGTTTGAACAAATGTGTAGTAACATGTATCCAACATGATAGTATAATAAGATCCTCAGTGCTGAACCTGTTCATCTCTCCCTCTCCCTTGATTCCTGGTAACCACTGATCTCTTTAATGCCTTCACAGCTTTACCTTTTCCAGAATGTTATATGGTTGTAACCATACAGTATGTAGTCTTTTCAGATTGGCTTCTTTCACTAAGTAATGTGTATTTAAGGTCCCTCCACATGTAGTTTACTTTTTAAAATGTTAATATTGTATTTATTTTCTTTTTCTTATTAAAGTTTTTTAATGAATATGCAATATGGATAAAAATCAACCTATTTATATACAGTGTAGAATACCTTTACTATAGATTATAAGACTATTATATTGAGACATTTTTTAGAAGATAGACTTAGGAACAGAATATGTACTATCCAGCGGTTCTGCTGTGACTTACTATAATAGGGATGCCAGTAGAATTATTTTATATAGGCTATAATAACTAGAATCTAAAAAAAATATGTTGTGTTTTCAAAATTACAGGCTGATTGTTTGATTGAAAAACTAAGAACATGAAAATGTCAACAGTGGAAGATTTTCCTAATCTTGGTTCAACATAAACTAATATTTTGGTCCCTTTGAAGTCTAATTATAATTGTAAGGTTTGTTGGGTTTTATGAGAGGCTATTACTGGCTGCTAGACTTAAATTTTTTCTGAATGTTTGTTTCCTGAGATCTGTGATACAGTTACTTGGATACTCTGTCATTGACTTTTTTATTTTAATGGTTACTTGTTTAAGGTTTAAGATACCATGGATAAAATCCCATTAAAACAAATTCCATTAATCAGGAAGGGCTATTTTTTTATAAACAGTTCGAATATTTTCATTCTCGATAGTCTATTATAATAGTGATTTATTTATGAAGAATAAACTGGTATGGAAAGTATTTTGTTGGAGCCTTTATTATTACGAAGGAGAAAAGGGGATTAACCATTTCTTGACAGTTCTATAATTGTACACACAAAATTTCAAAATGAAGAGTACCATACTACATAGTGATTTCTTTTCTTGTTGAAGGAAATAATTGTATGTGTGTAATTTTTTACTCAGATTTTAGACACTGATTTTCACTTCTTGAAGCCTAACATTTTTGTTAATAAATTGTTCCTGAAAGCTATGTGATATTACATAAAGTAATTTTTAATGGTGAGCTTACAAGAACAATCAATTTGGTTATCCAAGAGAATTCACTATACTGGCATTTTACCTGTAAGGACGTGAATGGGGAAGAAACATGAAATAGTTATAGTAATGTATTAAAAACTGGTAGAAATTGTTGTTTCATGGTTTGTTTATTGTACCAAAGGAAAAGTAGAATTAAAAAGTGATTAGGCCTAGCTTTTATCATGAAATAATCTTGCTTTGAAAGTACAAATAGATAAGCTTGGATGAGAAAATTTATTTTAATAGCTCAGTGTTAGCATTAGTGATACATCATTTCATGAGACATGCTTCTTTAGGTTTTGTTCTGATCTGTGGTCACAACAGTGAATGTGAGTGAAGAGTAAGGTTGTGAAAGCTAATACTTCACTGTGCCAGTTCATGAATATAAGTGAACACGAGGACTAAAGTACTGATGTTAGAATAGGCTGAGATGATTCATTTTCTTGCTTATTATTGGCATGATATTAAGCATAATTTGAAGTAATGAAATAGTACAATGTTTAATTACAATATCTGGGATATTTAGTTACAACATCTGAAATAAATCTCATTCATTTATTCATTTAACAAACATTTGCAGAGTATTTAACATTTCGAGGATCAGGATATACAGGTGAGAAAGGACAGCCTGTCTTTAAATGCTAATACAAGGGTCAGATGAAACGAGTCAGTATAGTTTAGTGTGTCAAGTGCTCTCATGCCCACAGAAGAGGCTGTGGAAAGAAATTCAGTTTTGAGAGCAGATGGCAGTATAACTGAATATTTAAGACACAGTGGTAGGCAGGTAGACAATGGACGTTTAGGCCAAGGGACCCACATGTACTTTTCCTGAATTCTTGCTCCGTTATTTACTTTACAATTGAAGTGAATGTTCACATTCCATGTGGAAGGTAGGGGCTATGGGCTCTTAAAATTAGATTTCCAAGCTTTTCAGCACTGCTTTGTTCTACCAACACAGATTAGCAGTTACAAGTTTGCAGAAAACAGTTGAAATACGACCGCTGCAGAAAAGGAATTTTGTGTATACACAACATATTGTACTATGTGAACTTGCAATGATAAAAATGACACTATTATGATAATAGCACATAAGATACTTAAATTCTCAAATGCCTTATGGACTTCTTCAAAAATATGATTAGCCAACTGATTTATATAGGTTTATACTCTGTCATAGTTAAGTTTTCCTTCTCTGTTGGAAAACCCTTGATTCTTATACTCTTAGCAGCACTTCTCTTTTACTTATAAAGATTAATAAATTACTACAATTAAAATTCACTCAGCTTTCTCAGTAGTTATTTAGTAACTCAGTAGCTATACATTAACTCAACACAAAACTAACTCATAACTTATCTTTAAAATGTTTAAAGTAATATCAAGAGCATTATTCATGCATGTTATGATATTGTTTGTAATTGAAGAATTGTAAAATGATTAGTGAGCTGTTTTAAACTGTGCTTATTTAGCTAAAAGAAAGCTAAATAAATATGGAAAAATACTGTGTCAAGGTTTGCCTCTATGGACTTTTTATGTGTGGCTTTTTTTTTTAAGACTTTATTTTTTAGAGCAGTTTTAGGTTCACTGCAAAATTGAACAGAAGGCACAGAGATTTCCCAGATAGCCTCTCCCATTATTGACATTCCCCAGCAGAGTGGTACATTTGTTGCAATGATGAACCTACACCTACACGGACACATCATCATTACCCAAAGTCTGTAGTTTACTTAAGGTCCACTCTTGGTGTGGCACATTCTGTGAGTTTGGGCAAATACATAATGATGTGCGTCCATCATTCTAGTATCATGCAGAGTATTTTCACTGCCCTAAAATCCCTCTGTACTCTTTTCATCACTATCCCACCCATCCCTGGCAAGCAGTGATTTTTTTCTTTTAAAGATTTTACTTATTTATTTGACAGAGAAAGAGAGAGTGAGTGAGTGCACAAGCAAGGGGAGCAGCAGAAGCAGGGTCCCCACCTGATGTGGGGCTCGATCCCAGGATCCTGGGATCATGACCTGAGCCGAAGACAGATGCTTAACCGACTGAGCCATCCAGGTGCCCCAAGCTGTGACCTTTTTACTGTCTGTGTAGTTCCCCTTTTCCAGAATGTCATATAATTGGAATCACACAGTATATAGCCTTTACAGTTTGGCTTCTTTCACTTAGTGATATGCATTTAAGGTTTCTCCTTGCCTTTTCATGATGTGATAGCTCATCTCTTTTTAATGCTGAATAATATTCCATGGCCGGAATGTACTATGGTTTATCCATTCACCTACTAAAGGATTTCTTGGTTGCTTCCACATTTTGCCAATTATGAATAAATCTGCTGTAAACACCTATATGCAGGTTTTTGTGTGGACGTAAGTTTTCAATGCCTTTGGGTAAATACCAAGGAACATGATTCCTAAGTCACATGATAAGCATATGTTTAGTTTTATAAAAAACTGCCAAACTATCTTCCAAAGTGGCTATGTACCATTTTATGTTCCCACCAGCTATCAATAATAATTCTCATTACGTCCTTGCCAGAATTTGGTGGTGTCAGTGTTTGGGATTTGTCCATTCTACTAAGTGTGCAGTGGTATCTCATTGTTTTAATTTCCTTTTCTCTGATGACATATGATATGGAGCATATTTTTATATGGTCATTTGCCATCTGTGTATCTTCTTTGGTGAGGTGTCTCTTAAGGTTTTTAAACTGAGTTGTTTTCTCATTATTGAGTTTTAAGAGTTCTTTGTATATTTTCGATCACAGTCCATTATCAGGTGTACCTTTTGCAAATATGTTCTCCCAGTCTGTGGCTTGTGTTCTTATTTTCTCAACACTGTCTTCCACAGAGCAGTTTTTAATTGTAATGAAGTCCAGCTTATCACTATTTCTTCAACAGATCATGACTTTGGTGTTGTATCTAAAAAAGTCATTGCCATACCCAAGATCATCTAGGTTTTCTCTTACTGTCTCTAAGAAGGTTTATAGTGTTGCATTTTACATTTAGGCCTCTGGTCTGTTTTGAGCTAACTTTTGTGAGGGTTATAAGGTATGTGTCTAGATTTTTTTTTTTTTGAATGTAGATGTGCAATTGTTCCAGCACCATTTGTTGAAAAGACCCATCTTTACTCCATTGTATTGCCTTTGCTCCTTTGTCAAAGATTAGTTGATTATATTGGTCTATTTCTGGACTGTTTTTTTCTGTTCCATTGATCCGTTTGTTTTCACCAATACCACTGTCTTTATTATTGGAAGCATTATAGTAAGTTTTGAAGTTGGGTTGAGTCAGTCCTTCAATCTCGTTCTTCTCCATCACTATTGTGTTGACTATTCTGGGTCTTTTTACTTTCCATATAAACTTTAGCATCAGTCTGTTAATATCTACAAAGTAACCTGCAATGGTTTTGATTGAGATTGCATTCAATTCACAGATCAAGTTGGAAGAAGAATGAATATCCTAACAATATTGAGTCTCTCCATGAACAGGGAATAGTGAGTCTGTCCATGGACAAGGACTGTCTCTCCATTTATTGAGTTCTTTGATTTTTTTCATCTGAGTTTTGTAGTTTTCCTTGTATAGATCTTACACATATTTGTTAGGTTTCTACCTAAATACTTTATCTTGGGGGGTGCTAATGTCAATGGTATTATATTTTCAATTTTAAATATCACTTGTTCATTGCTGGTATATAAGAAAGCAGTTGAATTTTTCATATTAACTTTGTATCCTGCAACCTCACTATAATTGCTTATTAGTTTCATTAATTTTTTTTAATGATTGTCTTCTACCTAGATGATTATGTGATCTGTGAACACAGGTAGTTTTATGTCTTCCCAATCTGTTTACCTTCTATTTCCTTTTATTGGCTTATTGCATTAGCTAAATCTTACAGCATAATGTTGAAAAGGAGTGGTAAGAGCAGACATCCTTGCCCTGTACGTAATTTTAATGGGTTTTTATTTTCTCAGCTTAAGTATGATGTTAGCTGTAGGGTTTTTTTTTTTTTTTTTGGTGTTTTGTTTTTTTAGAAAATTTTTTTTAATTTTTTTTTAATTTTTATTTACTTATGATAGTCACAGAGAGAGAGAGAGGCAGAGACACAGGCAGAGGGAGAAGCAGGCTCCATGCACCGGGAACCCGATGTGGGATTCGATCCCGGGTCTCCAGGATCGCGCCCTGGGCCAAAGGCAGGCGCCAAACCGCTGCGCCACCCAGGGATCCCTAGAAATTCTTTATCAAAGTTGAGGAAGTTTCTCTCCAGTCCTAGTTCAATGAGGGTTTTCATCATAAATGTATGTTTGGTATTGTTCAAAAGTCTTTTCTGTACCTATTGATATGATTGTGTGACTTTTTTTTTTTTTTTTAGCCTGCTGATGTGATGGATTACATTAACTGATTTTTTAATATTGAACCATCCTTAATACTTGAGATAAGTCCCAGTTGGTCATCTGGAATTTTTAAAATAGTACTAAAAACAGACATTCAGATGAAAGATGTTTAATAAATTAGCTGATCCTAATGTATGAAAGACTCACTGTCAGGGTTGTAGACATACTTCTTATAAGAATCCAAGGTCAAGAGCACAGTTTTTATACTTGCAGGGCTCATATATTTCTAGATTTTGATACCAAAAACCATCTACAAAAGTTGATGGCCACACTTTCATTAAGTGCCCACTACTCCAGTTTACTAAAATGAAGCCGATACCTGTTGGTTCATCTACTTATGAATCAACTTTTATCCTAGCAATATAAATATAAAAAACAGATCTCTGACTCAGCTTAAATAAACTTAATTAAAATTGATATGTCTTCCTCTGATTAGGAAGAATCAGAGCAGGGCACCTGGCTCAGTTGGCTCAGCATCCAACTCTTGATTTTGGCTCAAGTCATGATATCAGGGTTGTGAGATCGAGCCCCACATTGGGCTCTGCACTCAGTGCGGAGTCTGCTTGTCCCTCTTCCTCTACTCCTCCCCCTACTTGCATGTTCAACCTCTCTCTCAAATAAATTAAAATCTTTTTAAAAAAGAGAATCAGATCCTTGTATGATGAATTATTTTAAGTCACATAAGTGGAGATGGATCCACAGTCAACCATCATCCATCAATTAAACCAGTCCAGTCAAATATCTTTCACAAGTCAAATATCTTTCATGTAAATTTATTACATTTCCTACTGTTATAAAACTGGCACCTCGAGCTTATTTCTCCTCCCCTTCCCATTCCTCTCAGCTCTCCCCATCTTTGTTAATGGCAACTGCAATATTTTAGTTGCTCAGGCCAAAAATCTTGTAGTCATCTTTGACTTCTGTCTCTCATACTTCGTATCAGACCCATTAGCAAAACTTAGCAGTATTCTCAAAATTGATTTGACTACTTCTCACCACTCATACTTCTGTCATCTTGGCCAAATTTTCATCATCTCTTACCTAGATTATTGCAGTTGGCCTCCACACCATCTCTCCTTTTGTTCACGTCTACCCTACAGTCTGTTCTCAACACATTTGTACATTCAATATACAGAACATGAATGTCTGGATGTTCTCTTAGCTCACAGTTGCCAAACAGTTTGCCCTCAGACATGATGTTACCTTGAGGGACCTGAAACAAAACTCAATTCATTACTCTCGGTGCTTCAGACACTTGTCTTCTCTTGTTTGGAACATTGCTAGAATCACTTGAGTGGGCTTCATGCTCCTAGTTGCTTCCTTTCCTAGAAAGGAAACCTCCATCAGAGTTCTTTCTAAATTATAAAACCCGATAGTGCAGTTTTCTTGCTTGTGAAAACCTGTTTTCCCTCAATTATTCATCAGCATTTTCAGCTTCATTCCCTGCACTTGTCATCCCATATTCCAGCCATTTTTACTATTCCAACTAAACGGAGCACAGCTTTGGAAATCTGTTCACTTTTAAAAGCTGGATTAAAATGTGATCTCCTCTTGGAAGTAAGTCTTCCCTGATACTCCCATCCACAACCACAGCAATATTGTTTCTTTGGCTCTAGCCTATGATATTTTATTTTCCGGGCATGGACCTTACACAATATAATAACTGGGAAATAGTGAGATATCTCTTACCACTGGATTTTGACCTTTCTTATGAGCTGGAGGATCTAATTTTTTATCTTGTATTCCCATTAGTTCAGTGACTAATTTATATTACTGTTCAATAAAGGTTTTATTTTAATCTCTGAGTCCCTTAAAATGTTACCATAACAAACCCAAATCTAGCTGAGCACCACGATAATCCTAATTACAGCTACTTTCAATCTAAAAATCAAGAATATAACCTAGATGTAGGCTGGCCTTAACGTTCTTCACGGCTGTATGCATGACCACCGTTATTTAGGGTGTAAAACCTCTTTGAGTCTCTGGAGAATTCACCCACACTAAGTGTTTCAAGCATTTAATAACCAAACGTGGAGAGCAATGGTAAAGTGTCATCTAGCTCCTGCCATCTTGCTGACTCTTTTTCTCTACTCCTTCTCCCTTTCCCTTTAGAATATATTTCTCTT